TGGCGAGTCAAACGAAATTACATTTGAACACTGGCGTATTCATTACTTTGACAAGTAAATAAATAAACTAAGATTCCATGACGGAAACAATAATTAACTTTTCATAATCTTAATTAATTATTTTACGTTTACAAGGTAAATTGAGCTCTCACCTGAGTTATTTTGGTTCGTAATTATATGCGGGGAAACCCCGATCCTGTCGACTGCGCCAGTAAAAATCCTTTCCTTATTTCAATATAATGGATATTGAATCTTGTAGGAAGAACAAAGCTAAATTTTCAGAATGAACAAAATACTTTTATTTGAATTTTAAAACAGAACCAAAAAAAAAAATAAATGCTGCAGCTCTTAACTATTAAAATTTTTAAACTCTTAACTACTACAGTTAAAACTCTTACAACTATTCTAATATTAAAATCTTAAACTCTCCCAAACAAAAAAAAAATATATCAAAAAAAAAAAAAAATCTTCCGAATCCCTTCTTGTTGCCACACCGTAAATGCAAGTTCTTGTCCCCTTATTTATATTTCACGTTCTCTTTAAGTCATGATCTTTACAAAAATTTTCTTTATTTAATGCCTTTTCAAGTGAGCTATAGACACTAACTTTTACTTCTTTGTACTAAGTAAAGGACGAATTGTAATCGGGAAAGTTCGGGTATCATATTTTATTTCAACGAAAATATCCATTTTGGCCGCTTTCCAATCCATTCGAACCATGTCTTTGCGTTAAAAGACAGAACAAAAGACTCCTTTTTCCAAAATGGTTTTTAAAATGGATTTAAAATGGATTCAGAAGAGATTTTTTCTTGACGTCTGTACGAACGTGCGTACTTGCGTATGTATGTATCTGGCATAACTCAAGAACTAAGCATCCGTAGAACGTTGAAATCTGAAATCTTTTATATGGGACTGCTATAATACGTAGTTGCGCACATCTCATTGCGGTTGCCATTAGTTTTTATTCTTATATATTGGTAAATTGTGAATTTTTTGGTTTAAATGTCATTGAATTATGTTGTTCTTGCGTTCCAGTTAAGGTTTTTAAGCCTAATGAAGCAACCATTTGTTTACATTTGAAACTCTCAATAGAATAGTAAATTAAGTCAGTTTCTGCACTTTCGGTGTTTTTTTGCCGATTGGGACCAAAAGCAAATTTTCAGTTCTGTGGACCGCAAAAATCTGCCTTTTTACCCGCTGACCAAATTGCTTGTGTTTGCGTAAAGACTCTAATTTTTTGTAAAAATTATTTCCTTTTAACTGATTTAACTGTATTTGGCGTTTTACCGCATTTTACAAGTTTTAATGAAGATGTTTTGAGTTTTTATGTATTTTTATCTTGCCGCGAAGGGAGAACTGGGTTAACTGAATGAGAAATATATCTGTAATAAAATTCGAGGAAATAAATTTAAATGAAATGCAGGAAAAAATGCGTATAATTTAATAGGTCGTACAAGGAAGTCATTGTGTTGCCCACTTTTTTTTTGATTTTTTTTATATTGAAACCACTTAATATAACTATTCATTTAGCAAGAAACAGGAAAATAAATCGGCATTTTAAATTACCATAGTAAACTAAGTTTCTTTGAGTATTATTTAATGTAGTGAACCCGTGGGACGTAATATGTTCCAGTTCCCGAGAAATAGTGAAATCCTAGTTTCTGAGTTTTTTTTTTTTCGGGGGGGGGCTCTTATAACCCCTTTTACATTTTTTGTTCAGCGTTCACGTACCCTTGCAACAATGAAACATTAGATGGTTTTTGAATGTGATTTGTCGCGATACTCACTAAATGCCATAAAAATATTTAGTTATTTATTCCACTTCCATTCCGTCAAATTAATACTTGAAATATACCAGGTAATAAAAAGTGGTAACGATTAAAGATTTCTCAAAACATTTATAGAAATAAACTTCACAAAAATTGACAAATTCCTCCGCCATGATGTATAATGGTACATAAGGTACTTGGGCAATTTGTATGTCACTGTAATTATGGATCTGTAACCATGACTTTAAAATTTTAGATCGATAATTTGTAACTTCCGTTCCTTGGAATGGAAAGATGTTCCGCTCCTTTGAAATGGGAAGATGAACTCGCATGCACTTTAGATCAACATATGTGAAGGGTATACTGACCTGATAAGAACGCCACTAGCATTATGTTTATTGTAACGCATAATGATTGTTGCAAAGTCAGATAGATGATTGTAACATTTGCAAAATGAAGTTCAACGGTTAAATATTTGTTTCAAAAATATTTAGGAAACCGCATTTTCCGAGCATGTTCTTACTGCCAACTCGTTTTTCAATGCCTCCTTACTGCTCTTCGGAACAATAACAGAGCCCACGTCCCCGTTGAGAAACTGTGATTTAAAAATACAAAATTATTTTTGAAATTTTCTATTAAATAGGCGTGCACGTAGTTTTGTCCTTATAATATAATTCTCTCTATTATTTTTTCAAATGGAATTTATTTCTGTAATCTGTTACTTTAGAAAAGGAGCTTTAGGATAATGCTGTGGAAAGGTATAAAATACCTTATACACTCCTCCTTGTAAAGAGCGTTTGGAAATAAGGAGACCCAATCGTCAAATCCTGGTGGTGAAGAATCATCATCCACCATCTCTTAATTCGGGCGCCACTGTGCAGACATTGGGTATTTTGAAGCAAGAGACGTGAAAAAGAGCAATGCCCTCACCGGGAATTTAACCTGCACCTCTCGAATACTCGCCGAGTGTGCTACCGTTACACTATGAAGGCATACAGAAAGGACGGAGAAAATATCTTATAAGGGAAATAAATAAAATCATTCAGCTTTCAAATGAAGCTTTTATTGCAACATTTTAAAGTGTTATTTGTTTCTTATTCTGCTAGCAAAATCGTTGATAACATTCTAAAGCTAGGCCAAGACCTTTGTAAAACCACAGGTGATTGAGATATTGCTAAATACCACTAACTATTAAGCTAATGCTCCATTTTGAGGGAGAAATCACCAGGGGTTGGTCCAAGAATCTTCCATCTCTCTTCACCTTCTCTTCCCGCAACTTTTCAAGAGGACTTTCGGCTCACCGTGGATTTTAAGTTCGCCCTTGCCGCACAGGCATTATATGCTTCTTTGGAATTCGAGCCCGGGCCATCTGTACGACAGTCAGCGCACCGCTGGGCGGTTTGAACATAGAGACATAAGTATTTTAGTAACTCAATCATTGGTTTAATAAATTCGCATCGGGATGATGAAGAAAACTGACCAAGTGTTAGAATGGGAGCACAATTAGCGCATCTTCCTTAGGAGCTCGGCCCACCAGCGGCCGGGCGGTAAGGTAGCTGAACACTGGTAGTTCGATCGAGGTTCGAATCCCGACGAACGGGAAGGCTGCAGGAGCGTTTTAGTTGTTTTTCTCCTTTGTAAGTGTATACGAGTCATTTTTCCTTAAGAAATCCTCCAAGAAGGTATCTCTTCCCTCAAGAAGATAGTCTTAGAGTGCTTTGCCATAACTAAACAAACCAAACTAAGCATTGGTACACAGCAAACTCATATAACCTTATTTGTATTAATAAAAAATGAAAAATATTTCTATTCAATGAATGCTTTTTCATGCTTATTAGTTTATGATCCTAAAATAGTAAAACTGATTGTGAATATTATTGAAATACTCATTAGAAAGCTTCTAAGTTAACTATTTGTAAATGCTTTCGGCTTATCACACGTGACAAAATCATTAATTAAAGAATATTACACGTTGATAAATTAAATCGGAAACGAATATCTTTAAACGACATTAAGTATCAAAAAAATCAATCTCTAATTATTCTAATTTATGTTTGAACCAGCCACTCAAGGAAAGTGATAAATGCAGTGTTAGAAAGTCTTCAAAAATCACAAACTTTGAAATCAAATATCACGCACGATCAATTTTTGTTGTACGGAAGTCAAATTTTTTATATTTTGTTTTTTAAAATAAGAATAAACTTTTACTAAACATAACTATAGAAACCGGAGATAGTTAGATTTCTTAATGTTTACAGAATGACATTTCTTTTTTAAATTTAAAATTGTCAAACATGATTATTTGCCGTTTATTAAAGCCTGAGTAAAAACTTTAAGGCCAGTAAAAAGTTTTGAGAAAATGGAAACATTTAAACTGAGGAATTAAAATAGCATTTGATTGATAATTCTTGAGCTTAAATAAAAGTAAAAAAAGTAGAAAAATTAATTTTCAAATATTTTATTTTTATTATTAGAAATATTACAGAACACACAGATGAATATTTGAGGCCTGAGTAAAAACTTTAAGGCCAACAAACCATTCATCTTCGATAGTAGATTTCAGCTCTGTTGTTGATGTAAAATGTCTCCCATTTGCATAAGCTCTTCTTGCTAAGTCACCCCAAAGGTTCTCGATTGGGTTAAGGTTCAAGTGATCTAGCTGCCATTTCACAGTTTCAACATTGTTGACTTGGAACAATTTTTTGTGCTGTACTCGAAATGGATCGATCAAAATTCCTTGTCTTGCTGATATTTCCAATTATTCTCAGCAAGACATTCAGCTTTGGCAAAAAAAGATGATTTGTTAGACCATTTTGGTATCCTTGGGAATTTATTCTACCTGAAACGAATGCAGTTGAGCCCACACCATTGTAAGCAAAACAGCCCGAAGTCATGACAGAACCTCCACCTATTGGTGCTTGGAAAATATTCTTTTCATTTCTTATATCATGCCAGTAGAAATTCCAGCCATCTGGTCCATCCAAATTCCATTTTTGTTCGTCAGACAAAAATAATTTCTATCCATTGGTTGTCCCAGGTCATGACTTTCTAGCCATAGTTCAAACACTTTATTTTGTGTCTCTGCAGATATGAGGCTTAGTCAATTTTGCTGTATAAGTGAACCTTCTAGACCTTCTAATTGTGTTATAAATCATTTTTTGACAAACTTTTAAACCTGTCGTCGAAATCAGTTTAATGGTTGAGTACTTTAAATTAGATACAGTTGGCAAACTTCTTTCATCACGCGAGGACAAGCTTTAGGTCTTCCCCCAGTATTCTTTTTACCATAATTGTCTTTCAATTTAAAAAAATTCTTGACTACAGTCTTTGATTTTCCTATCTTTATCACAATAGCACGACTAGTCATTCCTGTTGAAGACAAAGCTTCGATCTCTCCTCTTCCACGATCAGTTAACTTCTTACCCTTCGCCATCTTCACAAAGATTACCCATACTTCGAAGAAACTTATGACAAATATGAAAATTGCAGCGTTGTCACAAGCTAGTAGTTGCAAAATCGAAATCGAAATCGAGTCAATGGCTAGGCGGCAATTAGTAGCCAACCGCTACTTTAACCGTCTCTGTTGGTAAATTGCCCTAAGGCGTTGGTACTTAAGTTTTTAATTAAGCGATTTACGCCGCGCCAACTAGGCGAAACTTGTCAAATTTTGTAAATGTAGGTGGAGTGGAGGGAAGATGATTGGCGGAGCTGTCACGTGGGTGGTCACCCACCCCAAGTTCAGACTCCGAGCAAAGCAGCTTATGCGTGCAATGAAAATATGGATATATTAATATTATTCAAGTTTTGAAACAGGTTATCCAGGTTGGAATAATTAACTAATATCGCGATCTAAATGAAGACAAATGGCACAACTAAGTGCAACAGTAATTACACGATTATATTATATTTATTTTTTAAAAATGACTGGTGGCCTTAAAGTTTTTACTCAGGCAGAAATACTAACTTTGAAATAATAACATGTTTCTCATAATTATGTACTTACAAATTATGTTTATAGCATTTATTTCTTATCAATGAACTTTAATAATTAATATTATTTGAATCCCTTTTATTTCATTTTAGATTTTCTCAAAAATTTTTACTGGCCTTAAAGTTTTTACTCAGGCTGTATATGTTTATGTATGTTTATACATGTTTATGCATGATTATTATATGTTTACGCCTAACGGCTTCAAAAATGAAGGCCACACAAACTTTTTGGACGCAGTGTATAATCTTAGTAATGATATAGTAAGTATGAAATCGTTTGAAACATTGAGAGATACTATGCTTTAAAAGTATGGATTGCACTATAAATATTATATTTTCTGAGAACAATAATTCCTGGAGAGCGAAATAAAACGAGACATGCCTGTAAGCAGGGAACCACTGATGTTTCAAGTTCTTTGCAACTTTTAATTAAAACGATAATTAAAAGTTGCAAAGAATTGTAAGCTGAGATATCTAGTCGCAGTTAAATTGAACACAAATCTAATCAGTTTTAAATAATGTGTTGAAATCTACTTTTCTTGTACTGCCTAAAAACGTCTAAAAAATGTAATTTTTAAAGGTACAAAAAAATTTTTTTTCTTTCATTTGTTACAAGAATTTTGTTGCTAGGATCTAAAGAAAGGCAAAAGACTTTGTAAATTTTTTAATTATATAACCATAAAAATTTTAAAAAAATATTTCACCACTGGTCTTTTTTTGGCAATGAACACAATTAAATGCTAAATATTAAAACCAATAAAATCAAGGCAATGTACTTTCAACTCTAGTACATGCATGGCAATATAATTTCCAACTGTGATGAACAGAACATCATCTTCCGCATTCATTTCTACTGCAGACGATCCCGAACATCTGAAAAGAACTGTCTCTTAACTTCGTCGAGAGTTTCCTGGGACCGTAAAACTGCCAAAGCTGTCATGGCCATAGCCTTTGCTGCTGTCAGTGTGGGTCTTTGGGCTTCTCGAGATCCAGAAGCTTCGGTAAATTCTTTCGAATGGTTGGCAGCATGGGTGGAGATTCTGAAGAAGGGGTGGATGGAAGGAACGGCATGAGATACATCTCCCATATCTGTAGAAGCAGCGATGGGAATTTCTGAAGCATCCCTAGCGAAATCGACCCCTGCGAAAATTAATTTTGGTTAGCAAGAATTAAACATTTTTCTCTCATAGTAAGAGAAATTTAAATAGTAAGTAAGATAAAATAAATAGATAAATAAAAGTAACATAAATAAAAAGTAAGATAAAAAACAATGAACACAATTTTTTGACCATATAGATAACAACAGTCTTACGACTGCTATTAAATAGTTATACCTGAATATTTATTTCCATTAAATGGAAAACGTCATTAACATGAATTTTAAAATTATAAAAAAATTAATTGCTTAGAGTAGTATTTCCCAACTATGAGTCGAAACAAATTCCTGGAAATAAGCTCAAAGACCGGATTGAAAATTTATTGAGATTTTCATGAGAATGTTATGGTAAATCATATTTTAAGTTTTTAGTTGTTAATAAATAAATAAGAAGTATATAAAAAGAATAAAACTGTAATCCACTGCTCAATTTAATGTAGGTTTTTCTGTAATCTGTCGTGTATTTACTTTAGTTCTGGCATATTTTGAGTTTCAAACTTAAATATGTTGTACTTCTTATTTCCCTTTACATTCAACGCTTTTTATTGCATTATTATTCAATTTATTTTTATTTAAACAAATAAATTTGAATTACAGAAAATACATGAATTACACCAGTTTTGCAAATATGAAAAGTCTTGAGGAAAATTGTTACGAAACAGTACATAAACGAGACTTAATTTCTAAAATCAGAAGTTCCAGAACTCTAGGCAGGCCATCAGGCAAGTAGGGAAAAAATGAATAAATAAAATAGTTAGTAAAATTATTAATCATTTAAATAACTAAAATTAAAATTCAATAAAATGTAAAGAGATCAATAAATTATTAAATTAACGATATATAGCTAAATAATGAAATAAATACCTATTTTACATTTAAGGCTCTGGCTGGAATTACAATTTTACTCAAAAACTAAGAAACAAATTGCCCAGGCTCTGTAAATAAATCGCTCGGGTTTAAACCATGGATGTACAGTAGAATGTACCATTTAAAGGGATGATAAAAACAAATAGCATTCGTTTTCCAGCACATCAATGGAAAAAGGTAAAACGGTTAAATCAATGACTAATGAAAATCGAGAAAATGCTACAAACAGTATATTAGTAAAAAAGGAAGTTTTAACGGAGATGTGTAGGCATGAAAACAAAGACAGAAGAGACTAAAATCTTCTGATGACGATCCCTTGCCGATATAATTTAGCAGTCAAAAGAATGTGAAAGGAGGGGGAAAAATTCCCCCAAGTCAGAAAGGTAATCTGTAAGCTGAGAACAAACGTAAAGTTCTGTGCAAATAACAATTTTAGTCCCGCCAATTGGCTTACATCGTTCCAAAAAGTCTGCAAGTGCTCCTTTTTCGTGGGAAATCACTATAGTGATTTCTCAAACGACCACTTCTGTAAGTGACCAATAGTTCTAAGATTATAAATAAATATTAATATTAAGCATTATTTCTCTAAGACGACCATCTCTATATAAGACCAAAGCTTCTAGGAATCTTGGATAGTCATTCAGAGAATTATTTTTACAGCGAAATTATCGCACGAATGTAATTCAATATCAATAACAGATCGCGCGATTGAAAAACATTTTCAGTCCCGTAATTAGGCGAAATTTTTTTCCCCTTATAGGGGAAATATATTATTATAAGGTTAAATACCTTATTATAACGTATTTCTCCCGCTTTCCTAGAGTGCCTTCGTGGTGTAGTGGTTCTGCCCGCTGGCCCGGTAATTCAGAGGTCCGTGGTTCGACTCCCGACGAAGGCGTTTGCTCATTTTTCATCTCTCTGGTACTCCAAAAAAATTCTAATGTCTCTACAGTGGCGCCCGAACTAAAAGGGTGTTGGAAGAGAATTTAGCGATTGGGTCCCCCTTTAAAAAAAAAGTCGCTCTTTAAAAAGGGGATTAATATAAGGTATTTCTCCCGCTTTCCTAGAGTGCCTTTGTGGTGTAGTGGTTCTGCACTCTGGGCCGGTATTCCAGAGGTCCCGTGGTTCGATTCCAGGCGAAGGCAGTTGCTAATTTTTCATCTTTCCTGCTTCCAAAAAAGTACCTAATGTCTCTACACCCTAATTAAAAAAATTCGTTTCCGTAATTAAAAAAAAAGAAAATTCCAGTTTTACCTGTATTTGTAGTAGGGTTTGTAATCTGTAAGTAATTTATACATTTTTTAGTAAAAAAAATATGTTATTTGGAATTTAGCAAATATTCTAGAAAATGCTAATCCATTGGAAAAAAATCTTTTCATGACTAAATAATTTTTAAAAACGTCAGAAAAAACAGCAGTTAAAATTAATAACAAAATAACAAGAATAAATTATCAATCATATCAATATTTTTAGTGTACAGCATTTAGAAACAACTTAGTAAAATACATATGAAAATTAAATAATGTGCAAGTTTCAGATGTGCAATGTCAAAAAACTAAAACTGGTAAATTTGAGAACAAATATCCTCAGAATGTTTGACAACCGAAGTCCCCTAGACAATGCAGTATGAATGTCCTCAGGATGTGAAATTGGTGAAGTCCTCAGGACATCTGAGAATCAACAATCTGAGTCCTCAGGACATCCTCTCATATCCCGGGACATAGCGACTTAAATAAGACATCCTCAGGATGTTAAATTACGATATCCTCAGGACATCTGAAAATCAACATACTCAGGACATCCTAAGTATGTCCCGGGATATTGTGACTTAAATAGGACATCCTGAGGATGTTTTGTGCTATGGGGGGTAGTAATATTATGTATGGGCGATGAGGCTACGTTCTAGTGCTTTCCGAAACGAGAAAATTACCCACTGTCATAAATTTAATGCACTTACCGGTAAGCCAGCCTTGATACGTGAGCATGTTTCTTTCCTTAAAACTGTCAGCATCCATCAAAGGGTTTGTTTCCCAGGAAAATACAAGCATGCAGTCAAAAGTTAGATTCAATTTTTAAAACTTATTTATTATTAAAATAAAATTTTCGAGATCAAAAGAATTTTCTGCGAAAATTGTGGTTCCGTTATATAAAAGAAGTACCGAGGATTCAGTTACGTTCCTTCTAGCAGTAAGATTATCTCAAAACTTAGATGCACTGGAGCCAGGCTCAGGCGCAGTTTAAGCTCTGTGCATAATGGATAAAATAGAGGAAGTATAAAATAATAATTAATAAGGAAACCGTAGAAATGAAGTAATCTTGAGGAACAGAAATATAAAATGGATGAAAGCCTTTGTCTCAAGGCTTTCTGATCTATCCGATGACGTAAATTTACATTGTTTATTCAACTTATTTTTGTTTCAAAAATCCGATATCATCCTCGGTTAAAATGGCAAAGCTGCAAACAATGAAAAATTAAATCATCATCACTTAAAATTATAGAGCTGCTAATGATGAATATTTTGAAATTCATTCTTGTTAGCAACCGATAGCTTTTTAAGAGAGTGGGAGAAGAATGGCAAAATTCAGTAAATTAGTTTAAAAATTACTAAAGAACTTCATTTGCTTAAATTCATTTATTAAATTTTGCCACAAAGCTTACTTTTTTGATACAGTCGATGATGTAAAATCGAAATATGGCAACTATTAATTTAACCATTTAACAAAGATATGTAAGAAAATTCAACTCTACATTTAAAAAAAAGTTCTACTGAATTTTGAAAATCTTGTGGAATATTACACTGTCATTGCGAACACGAATGTATGAAACATTTTTGAGAAAAGATGGATCAATAGAAAAAGGTCAAAATTTAAGTTCAAGATCTTACCCAAATAGATAAATTGTGTTAAGCAGAACCGTATAAGAATTTCCGTAAAAGAGATAAATAACATTTCATTGCAGAAAGCAGAGAGAAACTGTGAGAATAAAGAGAAGTTTAATAAATGATATGCTTTGTTCTTTTGAAAGCAGAACAGGTCTTTAATTTTAAAAGCAGAATAATATTAATTACGAATTTTTATATTAAAAGGTCTTTCGTACTATATGTTCGAACTTCAAATGAATGTAGTTTTTATTTTATATATGCTTCAATTTAATTTTACTTGCTTTCCTTTTATTTTCTATTTATGTCGTTTGGCCACTAATAATTATTGTTAGTTTAGATTCTCCGAAGTGGCAACAAGCAATATATATATATATGTTTATGCAGTTAGTTAGGCTTACTGTTAAAGTAGCGGTTGGCTACTAATTGCCGCCTAGCCATTGACTCGATTTCGATTTCGAGTTAGGCTTATTAAAAAAGAATGTCATGTTATTTACATGAGTGATGTTTTATATTTGAGATTCAAACATTTTCCGAAAATAAATGAATACTTTAGAATAATTTTAGTAGTTTCTTAGAGTTCGTAATGCGCTGGTAGAGTAATAGTTTATTTTGACACGTAAAGCGAACATTATCAATTAAAATAAAACATTAAAAAAAAAAAAAAAAAAAAAAAAAAAAGAATAAAGAAATAACTTTAAAGAAATGTTACAGACCTAAGCGCTCTGCATATGTCTGATATAAACCGCTCAAAACTTGATTCGTCACCAAATTCTTGAAACTACCTTTTTCACATAAATTATAATTGACTTCACATCCAGTTGCAGCTGCAGCACTCGATATGCAAGCTTCAACTCGAGTTTGCAGTTCCCTTAGTTCAGCCTTAGTGGGAGCTCGCAGAAGCATTTTCAGGCACGATTCTGCTGGGATGATATTTGGAACAATGCCACCTTTTGTGATCACAACTACAGAAGAAACATGTGATTAGTATATGTATCTAAAATAAAAAATATTTAAATCAAAATTATAATTTAAATTATCAATATCCCTTTAATTCCTAATTTCATTTGAGTACTTCCCCTCTCTATTTTAAAAGTAGTAATAACTTTCCTGGACTGTGCCATATCTAGATTAATTCATATAATATGACTCTTATACAATAATGATGACGTAGTTAATTCGGAATTCAAAAAATCGAGAACCGAAATCTTTCTCTTAATTAGCAGCCATGTTAGATGATTTCTTTCCTCGTTTACGCTGCTTTCTTCCGATCGCATAAATATTATAAATATAAATGCTCTTGAAAAGGCACAATTAGTGTACCATTTGCCTATAGCCGCAAACTGTTTACTGAAATAAATGGAATATTTAATCTGCCTCGGGTGCCAAGTTCCATTATACAAGTAGATCGACACCTCAACATCTACGAAGGAAAAATTTCGATATCTGCGCAATCAGCTTTCTTACATTTCTACAACATCATCATCATTATCTATATATATATTAACTTTATGAATTAATATTCTTCCACGGAAATAAAATAAGAGCATCGAAGTCATCAACTCAATTGTACACAATATTCTCAACAGATGGCGCCACTAGGCAACATTTACTTGCAGAAACTGTGATAATCACTCCTTAAACTATAAAAAATACAAGAACCCAGAAATATTTGCCATGTTTTTAGAATAAAATATTTTTGTATATTTTTTTCATCGAAAACGATAAAAATGTACCTAATTACAAACTGTATCGTTTCAACATTTAAAAAACTTTTAATATTAGTACACATAAAGATGGCAAATCTTTGATCAGCATTATGAACAGTTTGGTAGATGACAATGTACTTAGGACATACACATACATTCCGTTTACATTTCGATAAAAAAGTTCACGCCTTATGTAGGTGTTTGGTTATCGTTACTGTTATTATATATTTTATTACTTATGGCTGTCTATTCCTTATTGTTTGTATTTTCAGTTTACTCCAGTGTGTTTTAGTTTATAGACCAGACCTTGGCAGCAATGCTCAGCGGGTCACCTAGTGACCCATTTGATAATTTAAAGTGATCCACTTGAACTCCGAAAATAAAGTATCAAATATTTAAAAAAAAAAAAAAAAAAAAAAAAAAAAAAAAAATCTGAAATGTTTCAGATTTTAAATTACGTCCAAAGGGGCGTTTTTTAACATTTGTTGTGTTACCTTTCTTTATTAAATATCATGTTCCTCGCACTTAAACCATAAAGATCAGCTTAAGATTGTGCTTAATTAACAGCAATATCGCAAAATAGTTTTAAAACGAGCCATATTCTTTAGAATTTCCGATACAGAGACTCACGCGCTGGAGATAAAAATGTTTTTTCTGCACAACGTTGCCATTGCTCGCTTTGAAATCCTTGGAGTTTGTTAATCAAAAATTCGTTCAAAGTTTTAAAAAATTAAGAAATCGATCATTAAAACAAATTTCAAATTTCAAATTTGGTCTTTCACATGCTCATATTCGTTGAAGGATTACGTTATTCAAAATTCGATGACTCTATGTACCGTTATTTTATGACAATGTGAGAAATATACATACATTTACGCAGATTTTCATTATTTAATTTCTTCAAATATAATGCAGGACTGTAACATTTTGTGGCAATATTTTGAAAAGTGAACCGACATTTATCCGTCCGACGCAAAATGCCGAAACGAAACTAATAGTCCTTCGGGATTCAAATCCCTTTGGACTAAAAAAAAAAAAAAAAAAAACAAAAAAAAAAAAAAAAAACTATTAAACATAAATACGAAAGAACACTTGAAGGACGTATAAAAAGTAAACCGAAACCAATAATAATTATAATAATAAGTAACATTCTTGTTTGATTACTAAGTTGCAATAACGAATATGCTTTTTTATTTTTTAAAAAGTAAAAAAAAAAGTAACATAATTTGAAGGAAAAATAGATAAAATTGGCAACACCGGTATTCATAATTTATAAATAACAAAAAATTGGCTTTTCTATTTTGTCTACATTCGGTTCAATTTATAAATGCGAGCAAGTATTTTCACACACGAAATTTATTTTAAGTAAGAAACAGGAGAAGCTTAACTACCGAAAACTCAGATGTTTTTATTCGTCTTAAAATGATTAACTGTAAGTAACAGTAACAAAACTTCACTAAACTGACGACACAAGTTCAACATCAGAAGACCCATTGATATCGAAGACAAAAAAAAGTTTATCAGCTATGCTTGATTATGCTTAGAGCGTATCGTGTAATTATTTTCTCAATAAAATTTATCTTAGAATTCACCTAAAAAGACTGTTTTAAAACAAAAATATGACCGACCCGAAGCATCATCCTAATACACACATTTTGGCAGGTTTTGACTCGCAACCAAAGAAATGTTGCCGACGTCTGTTCTAATCATGTCTGTTTTATGTTATTTCTGTCCGGCCATTTCTACTGCTTTCCTTCAACTCTTTCAGGATTTGCAAATTTCAGAAGTAAGGTATTTAATGTTTTATATGCGCAGTTTTATACAGCGATTTCTATATATCAAGAGCGCTGTTGCATATATTTCAAAATTAAATTGAACAGTAGATTTTATTTAAAATTGAGTAGTTCAGCTATCTATTTAAACTCCAATGAAAAATTGTAAGCTTGCTCGCATCAAAAGAAATCACAATTTCTTTGACTCGTGTTAACAACGTAGCTCCTAAACCTTAAATTGCGTCTTTCTGAGGTTTAAAATCCTTCTTCCAGGTATTTTATTAGAAGATTATTGGATTTTTATAACAATTGCACTGCATTGCGGGAATACGGAAGGGGTATTTGAAACATTGCATTAGTTCATTACTGTTCTTTAATATTATTTCTCGTAAGAGGTCTAGCGCGTATTTAGACACTGATAGCAATGAAAAACGTTTATTTTGGAATAATAGTTGTATTTTAATCTCTGCTTTTTTTGAGTCTTTTTTTTTTTTTTTTTTTTTTTTTTTTTTTGAAGAATCGTGAAAAATGTGCAATACCCCTCTGCGGGACTCGAAACCTGGAACGCTCGAAAAAGAAGTTTTTTCAAACTTCCGCCAGAATGATCGGCTTAAACTTTTGGCCGATCTCTCTTTCATGGCGGCAGTAATGTAGTACATAAGCGTTGCTAAAAGAATAAAATAAAAAGTTTATTTTATTATTTACACTTTTCAATAATTATTCTCAATTTTATTAACACAAAATTAGGAGAAATTGAGAATCAGCCTAGATCAATTATTGTCTAACTTTTGAACAGTTAGTGGGTTTGTTGAACGGATTCATGAAGTGACGGGGCCATCTCACTTGAACTTTTGTAACCCCCTCTTAAGATATACTATGTTTATTATTTTTTTTTAAATCAGTTAATGATTTGAGGTCACAAAGAACAGCATGTAATCCCAAAAATCCGCCTGTAAATGGATTTAAGTGGTAACTAAGACACTCTACAACTGTTTTTTTTTTTTTTTAATTTTTTATAATAACTTAATAACGCTGCCTACCTGGGATAGTAGTTAGTGATTCTGTCTACCGTAATGAATGACCCAAGGTCAAATTCCGAAGAAATCATTGATGGTTGTAAACGTATAGTACCTGCGCGGCATCGGGCACTCAAAATATGCGGCGAGTCGAAACCCCTCTTGAGAGGCTAATAGTAGAGGAAGAGTGATGAAAGACCCTCGGACCTCCCCCCCCCCGAGGCGGAACTGAGCAAAGCTACTATCAACTGTATGGCGCTCAAGGCTCTTGCGAACGACAGGTACAATCTTGCCTCCATACCAAGATGAATTTCGTGGGCTTGTTCTGATATCAGACGAGCGTGATTAGTCACAGCAACAACATAACTTATTTGTACATCAATTATTTATATTTATCTTTAATAATTTTTAGCCCAAAGGGCGTTGGCCCAGATGGGTTATTAATTTCGTTTTGGCATTTTGCTTCAAAAACATTTAATTTCTTTGAATATTATCGCCCTGCATTATATTCAAAGAAATTAAATGATGAGGAATCTGCATAAATGTATGTATGTTTCTGGTATTGCGATAAAACAAAGGTACCTAAAGCCATAAAATTTTGAATAACGTGGTGCTCCAAACGAACATAGACATTTGGAAGCCCGAATTTTGAATTTGTTTTATTATCTATTTAAATTCTGTAAAATTTTAACGAATTTTTTATTAACAAACTCAACCATTTCAAAGCGAGCAATAGCAACATAGTACGGGAAAAAAAAAAAAAAAATTATCTCCAGCGCGCGAGACTGTGTATTGGAAATCCTAAAGGTATGCTGTTTTTAAAAATTTTGTGATATTGCTGTTGAAATGAATTTTATTTGGTGTATGTGCGAAGAACATGATATTTAATAAATGAAGGTAACACACAAAACTTTAAAAAAAAGCTCTTTTGGGCGTAATATAAAATCTGAAAACTTTCAGACATTTTTTATTATTGTTATTTTTATTTTTCATTTGGTTTTTCTTATTTTGTATTTTTCACTGCTGCTATTGTTGCGGTATTATATTTATTGTGTACATTTGTTTACTTTATTAATGTTACATTTTTGCTGCGTGTATTTAATTAACTCCTCTTTCCATAATTTTATAATATGCTTCATATTTATTTCAAAGATGAAAAGTGTTATAACTTCACAAAATTAATATAGAGTGAAAGGTTTTCCAACAACAGATTTTTGCAAATTTTGGATCGTCAATTTTCCTAAAGCCTTTCAAAAAATGATAATAAATCGCTTTATATAATGATCTCTTCTAAAACAATCTCAAGAAATGTTTTAGATGTCTAGATAATATTTTAACATCATCTAGAAATATAAAAGCAAAATGGGGATGAAAATGAATGGTTTGATTAAAATATTTTTAAATTTTACATGAGCTTCTTCCTTTCATAATCTTATGATTCTTTTCACTCAATTTTTCTGCTGAATCA